ATTTTGAATAAAAATGTAAATTTCGAATAAGATAAACTAAAAATAAATGAAAATAATGATAACCATTTATTAACGATATGTTCTATCCGGTGATTTATTCATTGAATAATGATCTATTTTGGAAAGATTTAAGAAAAGAATCAATCGTTTTAATCGTTTCTAAAATAGTATTCAAATATGAATCAGTGGTACATTTTAGTCAGATGAAAATAATCAATCGACCAGTAGCATACATCGTTATTCCAAACTAAGATGTTTTTCAATGATAATTTTAAATCGAAAATGTTTTTACTACTTTGCTAGAAATAAATACTGTTTTTTTCAGCTGTATAATCAACAAATCGAAGAAGAAATTTATATCCAGTTATATTCTTTGATAATTTGGTAAAAGAATTCTTTTAGTAACACATTGAATTCCGCAGATATTTCAAAATTATACATTTGATTTATTGTTTTTCTGTGTTCATTTTTATATTTTAAAAAGGATATCTATTCGTTCATATATATCAATATAAAATTATGCATTATTTATTTTATTTAAATATGGACCACTATATCTAAAGTGTACATGAAACTTTCGAGAGCATAAAAAGTACACATTTCTGCTCATTTTTGAGCGAATTTTATAAGAATAATTCGGCTTTTGGTAGAAGATAATGACATATTTGAAATCAGCATACAAAAAAACTGAGTTGATTAATATAGTTTTCAAAATTTTCTGAGAAGTTTTATTTTTGTCAAAAAAATCAACTAGAATCCCTTTCATTTCTGATGAAAGAACATTCAAAGAAACGATGTCATAAGCTATCAAAATATACTCATCGAGTAACAAAACAATAAAGTATCCTGAATGATTTATTTTATTGGAAAGTTAACAATAATGAGGGTTTATCAAAGAAACTAGACAAGACTAAACATTTTTATCATTTTGTTTAACTCTCATATACGCACTTGAAATAATTCTTATCTCTTTCATCATTGATCATATCAATGATCATACTTAACATTGATTTGCATCTATAATCTCAATCTTTGACTCATTATTAAATACTTTTTTATCAATGTTATTGACAAATAATTGTCAAACAGGCAACTAACGACTGATGCAAAAGCCTTGGCACAAATGTCGAGGCCCGTAGTATTTCAACAGAAGATGCTAGAGATCTAATTCTTTCACCATTAGATAGACCAAAGTGTGTGCTTTCAAACCCACTTTTTTCAAAAAGTTTTTGATGAAGTTAAGGTTTTCAAATTTCAAATTTTCAAAAACCACTAAAAACGGTTTGTAACTTTTGATCCTTTTTCGCGCTTTTTTTAAATTTAAAACAACAGTATTCTTGTCGAATTAATAGATAATGAGCTGAAATTTTCAGGGAATCAAGTCTGAAGTGTAGGCTTTTTCAAAATCTCACTCCGAAATTTGTGCGTATCCATAGTAATCCGCAATCAGGCTTTTAAGCGAAAGCACGGCAGTGTTGGGTTTTTAGTGCGCAATTTAGGTATTTTTAGGAAGACAAAAATTTTTAATTAGTCCAAAAGATGCTGTTTTTCAAGACCTTTCAGAATCCGTACGAAAAACTGGGAATAGGCGTTTTCATCTCCTGAAAATCAGCTAAACACTACTAATGAACAAAATAGCGCTTTGGCGCCAATTTCGTCATAATTAAATCCATTTATAACTCAGCCAGACTATGTTTGATTGAACCAAGCTTTGTTTTTGAATCGTAGCTACGGAGCTACTAAATTTCTGTAGCACAGCGAAAAACTGTGAAACTTACATAAAGGTGTGTTATCGTAATATTTCCTAATTTCGCATGGTTACGAGTCATTCTTAGTGGTTTTTCAAAAATTAAAATTTGAAAACCTTAACTTCATCAAAAGCTTTTTTCAAAAAGTGAGTTTGAAAGCAGACACTTTGGTCTATCTAACGGTGAAAGAATTAGATCTCTAGCGCTTTCTGTTGAAATACTACAGGTCTCGACATTTGTGCCAAGCCTTTGCATCAGTCGTTATATTACATTACGAAAAGATTTCTTACAGACTTCAACATTAAGTAATTAATATTTTAAAAAGCTTTCAAAGACTTAATACTTTTTGACAATGTTTAATCAATTAAATAATTTAATTGTTATTTAATAATTAATGATCATTTCGAATATTTTCAAACAAAACTAATAAATACAATCATCGATTATAATAAAATCAATTTTCAATTATTTATATAAAAATATTAATTAGAATTTTTATGTTCAATATCATTATTTATTTAGATTGAAATTGTGTTTAGCAACTAAACCAATCATCAAAACTTTATTTAATTCCACATCTAAGATATTTCAATAGTGTCATATTCAATATTTTTTCATCTTATTCATAATTAATTTTTATCAAAAATTATTGTTATACTTAGTATAATAAATCGAATTAGTCATTCTCTTCTCTTCCACAAATGTATAAAAATATTGTCCTCACGCGTGAACCTTCGATAGGAATCTATTCATTTATCTATATCACATGTCTATGAGTAAGACAAACATGAAAAGAGAAAATATTTTCAAAAATGATTTATCTTCTTATTTTCATATATCGATTCATCAATTAAAAATAGTATAAAATGCAGGTTTAGATCTGACTAAAAATGGATATTGAGAAATGTAATAGTAGGCGATTTCTTTACTACGATAAATAATATCTTAGCCCATCTCACATCATCATAATGATAAGAATTTTGTATTCTCTTTCGTTCTGATATGATACTTCGGTTATTGCTGGCAGAATAAAAAAAAAAGTATCATAAGAAATAGGAAGAATAGACCTAACAAGAAAAATACGACACTATTATTTCCAGAGAGAGTTGATGTAGATAGATAAGTATGAATAAGTACACAAAATAAAATAATCGTAATAAGATCACACGATTACTAAGAAAAGATCTATTATCTCATATCTATTGTAAACTGATTATCATATGTCACTCAACATATTAAATAAAATACTTCTGAATTCTTGGACTATAAATATAAGAGTATATTTATATACGAGATAAAAATAAAAAATCGTTAACCATGGCTCGAACGTTGATTGTCGTACTGATTGTCTTCGCTCTCATATTCACATTGTGTAGTATGTACATTTAAGTGAAACATATTTTAAAATGATCTGTATCTATTTAATATTTTTAGTGATTAATGTTTCTGGTGATAGTTGTGGTCTACCATCAGCTACATGTTCTACTCAAGGAGTGACCGGATGCATTGAAAAATGCAGAACATGTGGATATGCAACTGGTTATTGTAAAAGAAAATGGTTGTTTTGGTCAAAATGTAAATGTTCTATGCATATACACTAATATATATTTGTTTATCTTTTTTAATAAAATATTCCAGCTAAATTCTGATTCATGTTTATCAATGTACAAAAAGTTGAAAAAAAAACTAACGAGATAATCTGTATAAATAGTAGCTAAATCATCATGAATTACTGATGAAAAAATAAAATAAATAAATGAGATGGTACTCAAGATAAAATAGTTTTCTATAAAATAGTATTCGAACGTCAACTTTGAAAAAAAAAAGATAATGAACTACTGTATTGAATTATATTGTTTACTTCTAATCATCTCCATAATATTGATAAATTCTGAAAACCGGTGAAACAAAAACTTTTGTACGTTTATTTGTTCGTAATATATTTAATGATGAAAATTATTTTAGATAGAAAATATTCATCTAACGAGGGAACCTTTTCAACTGTCCAATCGCTTTTGAGTTCGAACTCAGTGTGAAAGATAGACCCCAGTGAGGTATGAAAAGGCCCAAAAGGATAAGTGCCCATAGGCCTTCTGTCCAGAGTTATAGGCATTTTACTGGATTTTTAGCCTATGGCACAGTATATACCAAAAAATCGAATGACAATATTTCGAGCTGAGATTTCGTCCAACGATAGGTCTATATACCAATAGAATGCCCTGAAAATTTCAGCTCAAAAGAATGTTTCAATCTCGGGATATTAAACTCCCAAAAATCACGCATATCCCGCGAATGATGCTAGAATTTTTTGGCTTTTGGGTGTTCAATATCTCGAGATTGGAACATTCTTTTGAGCTGAAATTTTCAGGGCATTCTATTGGTACATAGACCTATCTTTGGACACAATCTCAGCTCGAAATATTGTCATTCGATTTTTTGGTATATACTGTGCCATAGGCTAAAAGTCCAGTAAAATGCCTATAACTCTGGACGGAAGGCCTATGGGCACTTATCCTTTTGGGCCTTTTCATACCTCACTGGGGTCTATCTTTCAAACTGAGTTCGAACTCAAAAGCGATTGGACAGTTGAAAAGGTTCCCTCGTAAGTTAGAGTATATCAACAAATAAACTTTAACCTGTTTAAAAATTTATGGAAAAAAAAATTGTCTGAAAGATAATGAATAAACCAAATGAGAAAAATATCTATTTGATTTTTATTTGATTTCCACGATGAATATTTGTGCTAGTCGATCATTGGATAGAATAAATCATAATATGGATTTTCAAAATCAATAAAAGGATCATGTTGCGCAGATTGATGAGTTGATCGACTCTTCAGTTGCTTTGTACAGTCAACGACACTGTAACGTAAAAGACGAATAGACTGTTTCGTTACTACATCATTTATTTTATTGTGAATATAATGACAAACTGGAGAAGTATCGTTTCCGCTATCCCCGGTGTACAATGTTCACAACACAACTCTATCACTCCAGTTGCCTTTACTATACATAGAACACGAGTTTATATACGAAAGAATTGAGAAGAGAGCACAGATAGAACGGTCAGCTATTATTGGTCATCAGGTCAGAGAGTCTAACCATGTTGTGACCGAATGCTCTCACACCAAACAACCAATAGAATATATACATAGGTCGTGATCCCATTATCGGCATAGACACTAATCATTGAGAGAATTGTCTTCGGTCATTAAACGAATCGACCAGGAAAATTATAAAAAAGTCTTTTTTCTCAATTTCAAGATAAACACTCGGTTTAGATTATGAAGCAAATCCATTAAGAAAAAATTTGAATAGTGATCTAAAATAATCTAGATCTCGATTACTCTATTATTTATATTAGTGAGTCATATATATCGGTGTTAATGAGTAACTTTGAGAGTCAAAAAATATACATCCTTGAAATAAGATAAATTAATGAATAATATCTCACTGGTCATGAAATCTTTATAGCTCGGTAGAGGTTTTTCTTCCTTTTTAATCGTTTTATGTTGATTAAGTTGATATCAAACGTTTTAATAAATCGATGTTGGAGCCATTAATCGATATTTTCCCATCGATATTACTAATTCATAAATGAATTAACGATAGATAAAACAGATGAAAATATAATTATATTGGTTTGTTGATCTTTTATTAATCGATACTGTTTCAGTATTGCTCGAATTGATTTAATTATTAATTTATTTTGATTATCAATTTCAATTTGTAACATCAAAGTTTGATCGGATATAGTAGGCCCATTATTAGAAAGAGTACCACGTAATTTACCACCTTTATGTTGTACACTAGGTTCAATAACATTATTCATTAATGATTGTTGAGTAATTGACAAATATCAACATTTCAACAATATTCAAAGTTAGACTAGGGAAATCATTCAGGAATCTTACTTTCCAATATAAATATCAATTTTATCAGACACAAATATAAAAAATTCTTTTCATTGAATTTTGAATCAAAAATATAATCGACCTGATAGAATCCCTGGAGATCTTCATATTTTTAAGATGATAAGATTTTATTTTTAGAAAAATTTTCGGTTTAAATCAATATCAAAATCTATTTATGATAGTTATTTGGTAGTTTAGGGTGGGTGTGAGTGTGATCTACTATTACATCCACACCCACATCCTAGACAGAGTGATGATAACTCACACAACGAGATGGAAATACATCAATAGTTGTATTGTTACTCGTAGAATTTGTATGATTTCTACAGAAGAATTTTGGCGAGGATGTAGCTGACAATGCATCGAAAAAATATCGCTGATATGATATAAAGTGCTTCAAACGGTTAATCTTCACTGTTCTTTTTCTTGAGATTTTCATTAGTATCGCTTGAAGTAATCAGTTCATTTTGATGAACTTATCTAATTTTACAATCCTTAAAGATCTTATCCATCCAACTAGTGAGTAAATTCGAATCAAATACGTTATTAAAACCATGATCTAGTATATTATTGATATCTATATTCCAGGCAAACATTGAACTCGAGTTTAATAAGTTTATTTGTTTTAATCATGATATAATCAGATCCATATTGAATTATGAGAACAAATGTCAACGATATTGCATACTATCTGAATGTTTAGCAGTACAGTGCCAAAGCGTTATTGATCATAAGAATAGGAACTTTCAAGTAATAATGATTCATAATATCTGAGTCAAATATTTATAGTTGAGTTAAGAAATGTAATTATTTACAATATGATCTCGAATGCTGAACTATTGAAAGAATAATAGACAAAGAGAAGATGAAACTTTAGCTGTTATTCATTTAGTTATTTCAATTGTCCTAGAATATCAAAACAGAAGTATCAATAAAATAGATTCTTTATCGAAAACTTTATCATCATTTCT